ACAACTAGCAGACCGGACAAGCCACTTGGCACTTCGGTTGAAGGAGGCTGGCGTTCGCACACGCCATGTCGCCGTCCTGTGCGAGCCGTCGATTGATGGCATCGTCGCCATGCTCGCTGTTCTCAAAGTTGGAGCCGTCTACGTTCCCCTGGACGTTAGCCTGCCTGCCTCCCGTCACGCAGACATGGTCCGGCTGTGTGAGCCCGCACTCGTGCTCTTTCATACCCAGACGGAGAGGCGTGTAAATGCCTTGCTAGACGACGTCGTCGGAGAGCAACAAGAAATGCGAGTCCTCCAAGTAGATGTGGACCACATCCAAGACGACTCCAACACTCATGATGATCTTGACGACACCAACGAGATATCACCAGCATTCCTCCTCTTCACAAGCGGCTCAACAGGAACCCCCAACGGTGTCCACCTAACCCAACTCAACTTCGCAAACCACATCGCCCTCAAAACGCAAACCTTCTCTCTGACCGACACCGACTGCGTCCTCCAACAGAGTTCCCTGGGCTTCGACATGGCCCTCATTCAAACCTTTTCCGCCATCGCCAACGGAGGTCGCCTCGTCATCGCGCCTGCCGACTCTCGCCGCGACCCCGTCGCGGTAGCGGCGCTCTTGAAGCGTGAGGCCATATCCATGACCATCGCCACACCGACAGAGTACCTCGCCTGGATCCACGCCGCCGCCGACGTCTTATCCCATGACAATGACGACGGCAAGACTGCCTGGCGGTTGGCCTTCTCGGGCGGGGAACAGATTCCACCCCGACTGATAACTGAACTCGGCCGTCTCGGAATCCCGGGCCTCCGACTGACGAATTGCTACGGACCAACAGAGATCACAGCAGCAGCAACCTTTCAATCTATCCCCCTCAACAACGGCACCGACTCGTCGTCAGCCTCCTGCGTAGCATCACCTTCCGCGCCCTCAGCCATCTGGAGACTCTTCGCCGTGGGCAAAGCCCTCCCAAATTACACAGTCGTCATCGTCGACCCCATCACCACCGGCACCATCCCGCAGCCCCTACCCCTAGGACAAACAGGCGAGATCTGCATCGGCGGAGCGGGCGTGGCGCTGGGATACCTCAACAGGCCAGACCTCACGCACTCGCGTTTCCTGACAAACGTCCCAGGGATGGGGAATGGCACCGTGTACCGCACTGGCGATAAGGGCCGCCTCCTCTCCGACGGGACGCTCCTCTGTCTAGGCCGACTTGATGGCGACACGCAGATCAAGCTGCGCGGCCAGAGGGTCGATCTGCAGGAGATCGAGGCCGCCGTGCTCCGGGCTTCTGCGGGTGTTCTCGTGTCTGTTGTGGTATCTCGGCGTCGCCTGGATGGTGCTGATGCTGGTGGTGTTAGTGAAGATGACATCCTCATAGCTCATGCCACGCTCGCCGAAGACGAGGATCCCGCCAATTGGCAAGATGACAAGGTCACCTCTTCCTGTTCCTCGATTCTCTCCCGCATGAAGTTGCCGCAGGCCTTTGTCCCCGCAGCAATCTACACCCTCAAGGCGCTGCCCTTGACACCAAACGGCAAATTAGACCGCAGGGCCATCGCCCGTCTCCCTCTGCGTGAAAGAATGAGACCTAAACCTCTCGAATCCGATTCCAACGCAATAAATTCAGACGCATCTGAGCAAAATGAAGAAGAGAAACTTACCGTTCGTCAAGGTGAGCTCCGTCTCCTCTGGGAACGCGTCCTCCCATCCCTAGGCGAGAAGCGCATCGGCCCATCATCCGACTTCTTCCTCTGCGGCGGAAACTCTCTGCTGCTGATGAAGCTCCAAAAGGCAATCAAGGAGACCACGGGGGTGGAAATCAGCACGAAGCAGATGTACGAGGCCACTACGCTGCGTGGCATGACGCGTGCCGTCTTTGAGGATTCTGTGGCGGCGGAGGAGAATGCTCGGATAGACTGGAATATCGAGACGGCTGTTCCGGGATGGCTGAGGGAGGAGATTAGGGAGGAGATTGAGACGAGTGAGGTGACGGCCGCCTCCGCCGCCGCTGTGGAGAAAGGCAAGACGGAGGCCGGCATCGAAGTCCTCCTCACGGGAGCATCATCTTTCCCGGGAAGCCACATCCTCACAGCCCTCCTCAACCACCCATCCGTCCGGAAAGTTCACTGTATCGCCGTCCCTTCCGACCACCACCAACCCAGTCTCTCTTCTCCCTCCGCCTCTGTCGCGGAGGTGGTCTATTACGCAGGCACACTCCTCTCCAAAACCCTAGGCCTAACCTCGGCCGAACGAGAACACCTCTCCCAAACCGTACACATCATCGTCCACGCAGCCGCCCATGGTCACTGCCTGAACCGCTTCGCCACTCTCCGCCGCCCGAACCTCGAGTCCCTACACTCTCTCGCCTCCCTATCCTTAGCATCAGCTTCACGTCGCAAAATAGCGATCCCAATCCTCTACCTCTCAAGCCCGCGCACCCTGCTCCTAGCAGGCAAAACCGAAACCCCCAGGGCCCCATCTTCTCTCCGAGATTTCCCCCCGCCAGCCGTCGATGGTTCGGACGGGTACACGGCGAGTAAGTGGGCAGGCGAAGTATTCCTGGAGAACCTGATCAATCACCTCAGAGAGGGTGATCACGGCGCTGAAGTTGGGGCACGCGGACCAGGACCCAACCCCCTCGGTCTCAAAATCGCAATCCACAGATCCTGTACCCTCGTAAGCCCCCAAGCACCCAACTCGGACGCAATGAACGGCATCTTGCGCTACTCCCTCGTCATGCGCTGCGTACCTCGTCTTCAGCGCGCAGAAGGGTTCCTAGACTTTGCGCCGCTCGACGACGTCGTCGGACAGATCGCCGTCGCTGCTGTCGAGCTGGCGGTTCTCTCGGATATCTCTCTATCAACAGCAGAGGCTCCCGCGGCAGAATCATCACCGTCAGCATCGTCGTCTATCCACTTCCGCCACCACTCAGGCGGCATCAAGACTCCCTTCTCACAATTCCGCACACACATGGAGACCGTCTACGGCGGTGCGTTTGACGAGGTTGACATGCAAGAATGGCTCGTCCGTGCTTCTCGACAGGGTCTAGACCCGCTTATTACTGCGTACATTGAGGCCTTGCTTGAGAGCGGGATGCCGCTGGTGTCGCCCTATCTCGGAGCAGACCTAGACTGAATGAGGGGGTACAAACATGTTTAGATGTGTGACTTCTAGGGAATCTCTTCTTGTTTCATTATGCTGCTATTAATGATATCGTTGGAAAATGTCAACTAGAGGTGTAAACAGGACTCTAGTCACTGGCTATAACTAGTTGTTTGAATACATGAATCTCTATTCGTGCTTTATGATTGCATATTTCCATATATTCTACAAGTTTGTCAATTACGTTAATGTTCAGAACATGACGCTAATTATACGAAGTCATTGACTGAATGCAGAACCTGAGGCTCCCTTCCGCTGACACGTAAAGTCCGTAGCTCCCCAGACTCATTCATATTGTTAATCAAGAAGGATGCCAAAGTTAAGAAGAAAGTTCGAAGATACTGTCCCAGCTGTGCTATGAGGATCGAAATGATGTTTCCCTCTTCACATTCGAAGCAAAAGTAGCTCTTGTGACCATGATCTCTCCGGGTGAGTAAAATAGCAGTGAAAGAATTCATCTCTCGATGGCGGGATTCCGATTGGCTGGACTCCCGAGGTCCGTTTCAACGGGCATCCTACTTGACGTCGATAACTTACGACTGTTCAAGCAGGCGGTCACTAAGTTCGAACTCCCCTTATTTCTTTCACATAAATGGGACTCTATTCGAGAAAGCGGCGCGCTTGCCTAGCTATAGGATGACAGACCTGCCGCCTCTGCCAAGTCCTCGTAGAATATATTTACCGGAACGGGAAGTAAGAAGTATCGTGGGGCACAGCTGAAGCCGCCAAGCCATGAAGTGAACAGTTTTTGAGTTGCCTAATACATTTGGTCTTGGTTTTGGCTTTCGGAGGGGTTTTTTGTTTTTTTGCTACGTACGTTGGAGTTCAAAAGGATGACGGAAGCCACAGGGTTCTCACTCACCTTGACTTGGCAAGGAAAGGTGACTGATCTTCTTTCCCAAGCTCTCAGGTAAACATACATCGTTCGGATGATGGGACTACTCCGATAGGAAGAAAAGATCAAGCGGCAGTGAGACAACTCTCTCAGCCGCCCGAAAGGGATGGTTCGACGGGAGGGGCCGCGACTAGCTTCCATCCGATGTTGCATTGTTCTCCGAATGCACGACTACTGCTTACAGCCAAGTTCTTGGTTCAATCGCTTTTGACAATATAGAGACACATAACGTGGGTCATGGAGATCCTAGTCTGGTCTGATTAAACTGGCTGAATTGCTAGTCATCAATATCCTTCTCGTGAAAGTGAGACATCTGTCTGGCTGACGTGAGGCGGGCATCTGCCTATCCATTTCCTTGCAGAATACTAGGACCAAGAAGCATCATATGCCATATCCGACCATGTCTCTCTACTCTCAATCGTGTAGGTCTTTAGAAACCTTGACGATACTGAGAAGTAACTCGAGTCCTTGCTGAAAGACAAGTCTACACTCTGGCTAGTGGGAACTAATAGAGCATAGCAAGTATATAGGGCATGGGCTACAAGTCACAACGACATGGATTTGCCTGTTCAGATCAAGTGAAGTCCAAAGCCATGAACAGCAGAAGACATCTAGAGTTTACTATCAGGCGAACTCGAGAGTCAAGAGTATGTGAGTCTCTGATGTGTTCATTCTGTGTGACCAGACAGTGTGATGGTAGCAAGCGAAGCATATGCTGCCTGCATGGCCAAGTAAAAAGATGATTATCACAGAAACTGAGTCTTCTTGGTAATGTATTCGAATTCTATAAAAGGTCCATACTACTCCCAACTTTGATCTCATGGTATCCTCTTCATCCTCAACTACGAAGACCAAAAAGCAATTCACATCCCATCCCAACCAACCCTCACCACTTTCACTTCCACCTCCAACACTCTCCTTTCCACTCTCAAAATGCACTTCTTCAAACTCATTGTCACCCTTGCCGCCGCCGTCTCTGTCTCAGCCATTGACATCCAAAAGCACTTTGGCCAAAACTGCGGCGGCAACTTCCGCGTCTGCAGGGCCATCGACCCGAACCGCTGCTGCGTCGGCGCCACGGCCGAGAGCGTTCTCTTCCGCTACATCCCATCCAACTGGCGCATCGAGACCCGCGGCTACGACGGCGGCGACTGCCGCAACCGCCGCGCCACCATCCTCTCGGCCGGCGCCACCTCCGTCTGCATGCGCTCCGGCGGGTTCCTCTTCACCGGTGCCGGCTACGGCTTCGTGAACCGGAAGAGGGCGCCTCAGGAGGCCGGCGAGGAGACGTGTGCTGCCGGAGAAGGCGAGGGGCAGGAGGGGCAAAAGTGCGAGTCTAGCCAGGAACCTGATACTCTGGTTCTTGTTGATGGGTCCGAGTATAATCTTGTTGGTCTTGAGGCCGACAAGCTTGACAGACTGGTATGTTATTTGCACCCAAGAGGCCAACGACAGAGACACAGCTAATTCTCCTTTTAGTATGCGCTTTCAAGAATCTTTCCCCTTGCGTTCTGAACAACAGACAGATCATGTTTAAAACACATTAAATCCCTTAGACGTAGAATGATGTTGCTGACTGTTTGTTCGCCATCTAGCTTCACTATTGCAGCCGACCCCAACGTTACTTCTGCCGCCGATATTCCTGACGAGTTCACGCCCCTTAGAAAGTAAGGGACATACGAATCAACCAGCAATCACGTTTATGGTGCCCTGGGTACCGTCGCTAGCGAGACAAAGGCGACAAAAGGTGGCAGGAGATGATGGTTGATGTACCCGGCTGGATATATTAGCTTGAATGATTGGAAGGATGTGTGCTTGCCAAATTTCTCTTCTTATATGTGAGCTGAAAGGTCATATCTTTCTTCTTTATGCTCTCAGCATTGTTGAGTAGCATTGTCCACTCCTTGACTGGAAGGGCTCTGGCGCCGGATGTCCCTTTTAGAATAAAAGAATGACAAGTATTTTACCGATGAAGACCAATTACTTATGCCTGTGAAATGGAATATTTCAGCAGTCACTCCTATCAAATATTGTATGTCTCTGGACTTGAAGTTGTCAAGAAGAAGCCAGCTTGCAGTGAATTATCCCGGTGTTTGCCGTTTGTGGTAAATTAGCTATGCTTGAGGATGGTTAAATAAACTGGTATGTTATGTAGCAAGGAGTTTGTGAATTTAAGAGGGGAAGCCGGACATTGCTAGCTGAAGGTTGGAAACAGGTAAGAGCTGTTACACAGCATGGTGCCTAACCTGCCCGGAGAACGAGTGGGAATCGACATCCGACTGGTAGGATCGAGTAAAGCAAGTTTTAGTCACCGCAAATTCCATACTAAGAGTCAATGTTATTAGAAAAGGCAAATGAGATTAGGTTGAGGTGTCATCAAGGTATCTGGTGTGATCAATTGCTTCTCAGCTTCTAATAGTTTTGACGCCTCTATTCCAGGCCCACCCACGTCTACACCGCATTCAAGCCAGGTAGCCGTAATGTACATGATCATCAAGCCTGGATTTCCCCTTTTACTTTTTGTTTTTGATTTCGTGACTCATATTCCCCTCCTTATCTGGTGAGGGCGATGTCGTCTATTCTGAGGATCATCTTCACCGTCTCCGCGGCCAGCTCAATGGCGCTGGTGCTCACCAACAGAGGCTGGAGGACGTTCTCCTTGGAAATGTTGGTGTTGACACCACCAGACTTGATACTGACACCTGCATTCTTCTCGCCGAGCTCGTGTCTGTGACGAAGCTCGGTCACGACCTTGATGCTGTTCAGTCCAGCATTCTCAGCCAGAGTGGTGGGGACAACCTCCAAAGCATCGGCAAATGCCTTCCAGCAAATAGCCTCGGTGCCCGTCAACTCACGCGCGCGCTTGGAGAGCTGAGACGCGATCTCGATCTCAGCAGCACCACCACCAGCGATCAAAGCCTTCTTCTTCACCAAGCAGCGAACAACGCAGTGGGCGTCATGCAAACTGCGCTCAGCCTCGTCAAGGATGAGAGAGTTAGCGCCGCGAACAACAACGGAGACAGTCTTGCCAGTGGCCTTGGCGCCGGTCACCTTGACCATGCGAGCTCCGTTAGACTGGACCTCCTCGACGAGATCGGCTGAGCCGAGCTTGTCCTCTGTGAAAGAGTCGACATCGGCAATGGGCTTGCAGCCGGTAGACTTGCAGATGAACTCGATCTCATCACGCTCGATATCCTTCACGGCAAGAATGCCAAGCTTGGCAAGGAAGTGCAGGGACAGGTCGTTGACAGCATCGCGAAGAATGGACTTCTGGATGAAGAGAACGTTACACTTCGCCTTCTTGATCTTCTTGACCATGTTAAGAAGGTAGAGACGCTCCTCCTTAACGATCTTATCCATCTGTCTGTAGTCGTTCACTTGGATAGTGTTTTCCATCTGTGTTGGTCAGCAACCGCGAAAAAAAGGGGTATTTGAGGGGTAACCTTACATCGGGCTTGGGAGGGCTGAGCTGGAACTGAATCAGACCGATTCTGGCCTTCTCGATTCTTGCGGGACCACCAGCACCCTTGAGAACAGGCTGCGTCAAGATCAAGCCATCCGATAGCTCGCTGTCCTCGATGGTTCCGCCAACCTTCTTGACGATTCTGATGTTCTTCAGGTCGACGTTGTCTGCCGTCTTGAGGTCGATGGTCTTGACAACAGAGTTGACAGCCATGGGGCCGAGGATGTTGGAGTATTGCGACACAATCTTGGAGGAGAGAGATGTATTGGCTGCCTGAAGCAGGGATGCTGTGTCGGTAAGGGAAATGGGTTGTGACATGTCGTGCAGAACCTCGACAGCTGCGGCAGCAGCTCTCTGGAAAGCCTCTGAGATGACGGAGGGGTGAATTCCTTTTGACAGCAGTCTGTCGGCGGCACCGAGCAAGCTGCCGCAAATGACAACCACGGATGTTGTGCCGTCTCCCGCCTCCACGTCCTGTGCCGCCGAAAGGTTGACCAACATCTTTGCTGTCGGGTGCATGACAGACATGCTCTTCAACATCGTGTTGCCGTCGTTGGTAATGATCGTCTCGCCCTTTCCACTTCGAATCATCTTGTCCATGCCGCGGGGGCCCAGAGAGGTTCGGATCGCATCGGCGACGGCTAACAGTCAAGTCGAGTCAGTTAATGATCTAGGAAGCTTGCAGGTGTATTCTTCTTGCTCACCTCTAGCAGCAACAATGTTGGAGGAGCGGACGGCGACGGGCTTCTCCTTGTCCTGTAGGTGAAGTATTAGCAATAAGCTTCCCCTCTAGAAGCTTCACTATGGGCGCGCAGTTCGCACCTTGAAAGTAGCATTGCCAGAGCCTCCTCCGGCCTGGGCTGGTGCAGTAGTGGCCATTTTGATAGAACGGATTTGTGTTGTGCTTGTGATCGAGAACTCGGGGTCAGAAAGACAAGCTAAACACGGGGTGCAAAGGTATCGATATCGTCGTGGGCCTGTCCCGCTGTCGCCTTCTTTTGCGATCGCCCACTTTCTCTCAGGTAGCAACCCCCCAGCGGCGGTGGGATATTTTTTAGCGGCCGTCAGGTTGTTCCTGCCCCGGTACCTGAAGGTACCCTGCTTTGCCTGCCACCTGCTACCTAAGCCAGGTCGTCAGTTCTGTTTGCATTTTGCCCACACCGGGCCTAGCTCCACAGCAGCCTCACATTTGTGGCCCGTGCTTTGGAGCTCAAGGCAACCTGGATTACGGAACCGTCTTCCATCACCACCTCCATCCCACGATTTCACCCCCCCAGCAACATACTCATTGACGACCAACGCGACCACTTCCTCGAAACCCTGCGATTCCACTCCAACGAACCATTCCAAGCGAAGAACTGCACGAACCTACCCCAATCATAATAATCGGCAGTAGGACTTTCAGTCCTCATCCTACATCATGGTATGGACCCTGCGTGTCCACTTCCATCGATAGCAGTGTTAACTCGAGCAATATTAGCCTTCCGCGACCGGCCAGAACTGGGAGAAATACCAGAAGACCTACGCAGACGACGAGGTTGAAGAGAAGAAGATCACACCGCTTACCGATGAGTCCGTCATTCCACCAACTCCAAGCTACGATGGATTATCGACTAACAATACCCAGAGATATCCAAGTGCTCAAGACCTACGGTGCCGCTCCATACGGTGCCGCCATCAAGAAGCTCGAGCAACAGATCAAGGAGAAGCAAACGAGCGTAGACGAGAAGATTGGCGTCAAGGTAGGTGCATCTGTCCCTCCTTGGCTGATGCAACTGGGACTGACATGACTAGGAATCCGATACGGGTCTTGCCCCTCCTCACCTTTGGGACGTCGCAGCAGACCGGCAACGCATGTCGGAAGAACAGCCCCTCCAAGTCGCCCGGTGTACAAAGATCATCCCCGACGAGAAGGACGACTCCAAGAGCAAATATGTCATCAACGTTAAGCAGATTGCCAAGTTCGTCGTGCAGCTTGGCGAGAGAGTGAGCCCTACGGATATCGAAGAGGGCATGCGAGTGGGCGTCGATAGGAACAAGTACCAGATTCTTCTGCCGCTTCCACCCAAGATCGACGCCAGTGTTACGATGATGACGGTCGAGGAGAAGCCCGATGTTACATACGGAGATGTTGGTGGTTCAAAGGAGCAGGTCGAGAAGTTGCGCGAAGTCGTCGAGATGCCCCTCCTTTCGCCGGAGCGGTTCGTCAACCTCGGTATCGACCCCCCGAAGGGTGCACTGCTGTACGGACCCCCCGGTACCGGAAAGACCCTTTGCGCTCGAGCTGTCGCCAACAGAACAGACGCCACCTTCATCCGAGTCATCGGCAGTGAGTTGGTCCAGAAGTACGTCGGTGAGGGTGCAAGAATGGTGCGCGAGCTTTTCGAGATGGCGCGGACGAAGAAGGCTTGCATTATCTTCTTTGACGAGATCGACGCCATTGGTGGTGCCCGTTTCGATGACGGTGCTGGTGGAGACAATGAGGTTCAGAGAACTATGCTGGAGCTCATTACCCAGCTGGATGGTTTCGATGCTCGTGGCAACATCAAGGTCATGTTCGCAACCAACAGACCTTCCACTCTCGACCCCGCTCTGATGAGACCTGGTCGTATCGATCGTAAGATCGAGTTCTCCTTGCCCGACCTTGAGGGTCGCGCCAACATTCTGCGTATCCATGCCAAGAGCATGTCAGTCGAGCGTGACATTCGGTGGGAGCTCATCTCGCGTCTGTGCCCCAACGCCACGGGTGCCGAGCTTCGCAGTGTCTGCACAGAGGCCGGTATGTTCGCCATCCGCGCCCGGAGAAAGGTGGCGACGGAGAAGGACTTCCTCAGCGCCGTGGACAAGGTCATTAAGGCCAACCTCAAGTTCAACTCGACGGCCAGCTACATGCAATACAACTAAGATGGGCAATCCAGGGGCTACGAGATGGAATGGAGGGGGGTCATGGAGTTTCGTCATGTCCTTTTTTTTCAAAGGCTGTAAGAATAGGCAGGCTTCGGATTGGGGAAGGCTTCTAGAGGGCGTGATACCTTCCGAGAGAAAGGAGAAATAGATCATGCTTTTCATGTGCCAGTCATGGTTTCCCATTAGCGCAATTTGCGAGTGACACGATGAGTCTGCCTGCTCAACCCAAGCATGCAGAGAAACAGCAGCGCTTGATGTAACTTTTCCTGGGTCATGTCGTTTTGCCTAGAGGAATGTATCGCAAGTAAGGTCACATTATTAGTATGGTTCACTGCTTGATAATCTTAACCCCTAAGGCGTAAGGGATGGCGCTTCATTTGATAGAATTTGGTATTGTTGGCTGTAGGATTACATTGGACTACAGCTAGACGAGGCTCTCTCTCTCGCCTCTCCAGCCTAACGTAGTGAGAATAAGGGGAAGTGGGTATTTTCAACCCATCCCTTGTTCTCGCTGTTTCCTGGTAACGTCTTCCAGGTCCTTCACCCATGCGCAAAAAAAGTAACAACGTCCCATGCTGCCTCAGCATTGCCCAGATTTGCTCCATTACCAAATGAATATGCATGCCTTCATTAGCAGTGCCGTACGCTCATCCGTCTTCCGTGGGCGTTTTGACTGTCGAAAAAGAACCTCCTTGAACGCTATGATTAAAACAAGAAAACAAGAAATATTGCCCTCGAGCAGGGCGTAACAGCCGCTTTAGACTGACTCCATGCGTGAAAGGCAACCCAGGCAAACAACGTCGCCCTCGGAACCCTTCTCGATACAACAGCGACTGCAGACCACCTGCCTATGACCACCGCCCGTCCAGCCGTTGTGTCGAGTGGCTTGGCCGGCCCTCTTTGCTTCCTCCTCTTCTCTTGATTGCCGTTGCCTGTCGTCGTCCACATCATCCATAGTACATGACCGTGAGAGGTCGAGTCCGTCTTGCCCTTGGTCTTGTTGCGCGCTGTTTATGCCGCCGTTGCTGCTTGGTTGTCCGTCCCTTTCCCAGCCCTGGCATTCTCGGACGCATATATAGCATGATCGTTGTCCACAGCCTTGGCAGTCTGCAAATGAGTCGAGATCTGATTTCTTGGTAGGGCGGCGGTGGCAGATGTGGCAGGGTGCCAAGGACGAGGGCGTCTTGGGTCTATTGCCAGCTGCATCCGCCTGGTTTTGTGCTGCATGGGAGGTGTGTCGAGACTCTGTCGACGACCTGCTACCCCGTCTTTGCTGCGAATCATGTTGTGATGTAGTACCGCCATTCGAGCTACCCAGCTCCGCATTATTATTGTCATCGTCGTCGTCAAACATGCGCTGTCGCTTGGATACAGGAAGCGGCGCTATTTTCCGAGGCACCGAGTCGATGTTCTGGCGTGATCCTTCAGCAGAAGCAGCGATGTCGTGGGAGAATCCAAACTCATATCTCAACCGTTCATTGTTACTGGAAGGGAAGCGGGGAAAGTTGCCTCCTAGGTGCTGCTGCTGTTGCTGCTGTTGAATCTGCTGCTGAATAGGCCTACCTCCAAAAACGCCGTCAGCGTTCCAGTTGTTCGTTGCGGCCTGATACTGGGCGAGTTTCTCGTACAGAGGGCCTGGCAAATGCAGGTCGTTGGTGTTGGCGTCGTTGACGTCTCGTCTGCGCTTTCTGCCTGACGCCATCGCCATCAGCCGTGGATACTCCTCGGCGACGGATGGCATTTGGGATCTGGTTTGTTTGGTTCGATCCAAGCATGAATTGCTGTGAGTTGTCTGTGTTATGAAGCTCGTGGATCGATGCAAAGGGTCTTCTTGTCGTTGGACGGGGGCGAGTAACCAGGCGTTGGTGGTGGTTGAATTCGGGCCCGGCAAGGCGAGGTTCGCTGATAAGGTCCCCCGTAGATTTCTCTTGTCGATAAGAGGAACCGAATGGAAAGGGTATGAAGGCGACGAAACAAACCGTTGAGAACTTGCTTCTGGTCAAAGATGGAGAGTAAAAGAGCTCACAAGAAGAGGAAGGACTTGATGACGAGTGAAAAACGCTCCTTCCCACTCGCTCTTCTTGACTCGGCAGCTCCTTCGTTGGAGGAGGGGGGAAGGTGGTGGTAGTGGTGGTGTTGCTAATTAGCTGCGGGCACATACGTCCATGTGAGCAGGCTCTGGCAGGACTGGCAGTAAGTGGACGGCAGGGTGTTTTTGAGGTGGCACTGACGGCCAGGCCCTGGCTCGGAGCTTTTGGGCCTGACGGAAGTTGCCCAGTTTAATGAGGTGAGGTGGACACCAACGGCCGATGGATGGAACAGAGGATTGGTCGGCGTCGTGCTTTCCACCTTTGGGCTGTTCTGTCAGCGCAGTTATCTCATTCTCAGCGGACTCAGCGCTAGATCCGACTGTTCGGAAAGCGCGCCGTCCGCTGGAAAACCGATCGTTTCCTTCCAGGTCCTCCATCCTAACTCGGTCTTTAGAGCACGTTGCTGGAGCACCTCCAAAAGACCCACCATATTCGTCCTTCCACCAATTGACAACCTCTGACTGCCTGCCCAAGGTAGACGCAAACCCGGCTACTCACTCCTCAATCAATGTCGTTGCTCAAGAAACTGGGTGGTCATCGGCGACAAACGACACTTTAAATGCCTGCAAAGTCACAGAACTCTGTGTGAGCTAGGGGTCTAGAAGAAAAACATGAGATGAAACATCATTTTGATTATTTGAGAAATTATGAAAATGGCTACGGATATGCATATATATGTAACATTCTCGCATTGTTCTATCAACTCATGGTACGGATACTGATAATTAAGGTGCAACTGCGTTTCGGCGAATCAATGACCGAGAGGTTACGCATATTGAAGACACCGTTGATTCCAGCAGCCGATGGGTGCATCGCGCATTTGGTATACTCAGCTCTGTCTCCATGACTCCGCATCTGACAAGATGCTTCACACTAATGGCACGAAGCAGACTCATAGTCTTCATTTCATGACTACAGCTTGCTCACCAGACTCTGGCTGTCCGTTGTTGCGTGGCACATTTTTGGAACGTGGATATGGCACATGAAATTCTAATCTTGTCTTGTCATTATCAAGGAGTCAGGTATTGAAAAAGGACCATCTGATTTACACTCTATCGCTCCCCATATTGCTCCCAACGATGAATCTCGTCTCTGCCGCCTCCACTAACAAAGGAGCTGTTTTAGAGAGCCTAGTATAACATACACAGAGACAACCGAAATGTTGCCATGCTAATTTAGTGGCGAACCTTGGTCTCCTTGGGAGGGTCGTACGCGAGCTTTCTCGACTTGAGCCAGGCCCACTTGTACTTCTTGACCCAGACGCTGAGGGCCCAGAGGGAGGCCGATACAACGAGAACCTTCATACCCATGCGCTTGCGGTCGTCCATCTCGGGCTCAGCGGCCCAGTTGAGGAACTCGACAACGTCCTTGGCCATCTGCGAGGTGGAAGCGGGAGTGCCGTCCTCGTACTCGACGAGGTCCTCGTAAAGGACACGGGCCATGGCGATACCGGTACCGGGGAAGTAGGGGTTGAAGTTCATGCCGGGGGCGACGACGGCGCCCGCGGGGGGCTCCTCGGGGTAACCGGTCAACAAGCTGAAGATGTAGTTGCAGCCACCGTGGCGGGCCTTGACGATCAAGCTCAGGTCGGGGGGAAGGGCACCGTTGTTAGCGAAACGGGCAGCCTCTTCGTTCTTGTAGGGGTCGGGCATGTAGTCGGAGAGCTTGCCGGGGCGCATCTCGATGTCACCCTGCTCGTTGGGCTCACCGGGGTACTCGTTCTCCTCGGCCATGGCCTTGGCCTCGTCGACGGTCAAGACGGTACCGACGAGGGTTCGGTAGGGGACACGGCTAAGAGAGTGGCAAGAGGCGCAGACCTCGCGGTAGACCTGGAAACCACGGCGGAGACTACAATTCAATGTAAGCGTCATACATCCCAGATGGCCGAAAAAAATCAACATGGTGTTTTACTTACGCCTGGTGGTCAAAGGTCTTGAACCATTGCTCGTGAACCCAAGGGTAGTTGGTAGGGTGAAGACTGAAAGATGATAATTTAGCTCAGTGATCGTTCGTTGTCGGTCGGCCCCGGTTTCAATGTCGATTATGCCTCAACCCAAGGGATTCGGCGGCATTCGAGCAATTATCCCGCAGCGACCGCATACGGATAGGCAAAAAAACTCACCCCTCCTCAGCCGGTGCGGCAGCGTTGGCGGAAGGTCCGTAGAGGTGGTAGTACCAGGCCATGGAGCCCAGAGCGAGAGACGTCGACGTGACGGCGGCGAGGTTCAATCTAGAGGAAGCTTCGGCACCAGCGCCGCTGGAAGTAGAGGCGGCACGCTGTATCAATCATCGTCAGCGAATTTGCCCCAGAGTCCTTGATGTCCATTGATGTCCGTCGATGGCCATTGAGGCCGGGCTCGGGCGTGTTCGTTGGCGGTCGGTCGGATTGCCTCGGGAATTTCGACTCGTGATCAGCTCATCTGCGTACCTTTGAAATCGTGACAGCGCCATTTGTGAAAGTGCGCGCCGAGCGCAAGCAGGACCTTGCCAACATGATGGGCGAGCCGTATCCGCAGCTACAGAGACAGCCGCGAACAGATTGATGGGGCAATTGGTGGGAGGTCGTCTCGTGGCGGAGATCGTTTCTATGGTACAGCAATCGAGGCAGGAGAAAATCGCTTGAGGCAGTTTTCGAGTGCCTTAGGTATGGGGCGTCTCTGATTGGTTGATGGGCACGGTCAATGACATCTTCCGTTCCGGCGACTTTTCGCTTCCTTCCTCTTACCCGTAGTTGCCCGGTTGCGCTTAATTGACCACACGTATTTCCGATCGCCCGTCTCACTCTCACCCAAGTGAACCCAACAGCTGGCGTCTGCCAACCCTCGGACTGAGAAATATCGCCCCCATGATTGGTCTGGTTTGGATGCAACTGCAGCGATCTACTACATGCATCACAACACGACATTGGACGATGAAATATTTATTTCAAACAAAAATCCTACCCCAATACAAAGGCGCGGCAAGAGGAACAATTTTAGTAAATCAATGTCTTGAATCCCGAAATCGTCGATAGTTCAGCATAAGAAACGCCGAAACGACGTCAATAGCAAAGAAGCTGGGTATCAGATGGATTTTATTCGACAAAACTACAAAACTTTTTGACCTCGCCGAACCGAATGTAGCTCCTGCAATCCACGGCTGGTAGCTATCGGTATATGCACACTTTTCTCCCCTCGTTAAGTTGACAGCCACGCCTTGCAGCTGGTCAACGTCCCATGGAACGGATTATCTTCGCAGAAATCAATCGAAACTAGTTGCTCAAGCCCCGTTTTTGCTGATGACCTCGCGGCGCTGCTTCACGGCGTTGGCCAGTTGATCAAGCACAGAGATGGTGTCATCCCAGTGGATGCATGCGTCTGTGATGCTGACTCCGTACTTCAGACCCTCCTTGCCCTCCTTCGGCACCTTCTGGTTGCCTATCGAGAAATTAGCGTCTGCAACTACATACAGCGATCTAGACAGGTACTTACCCTCATTGATGTTGCTCTCAATCATGACACCCATGATGCCAGTCTCGCCACCGGCAATCTGGCCAGCGAGGTCAGCAGCAACCTTGGGCTGGTTCTTGTGGTTCTTCAGAGAGTTGCCATGGGAGCAGTCGACCATGAGTCGTTGGGGAAGACCGGCCTTCTCCAAGGCAGCCTTGGCCTCAGCAATGCTCTTGGCGTCGTAGTTGGTGCCTCGAGTACCGCCTCTGAGAATCGTGAAGCAGTCCTCGTTGCCCAGGGTACCGACGACGGCCACGACGCCGGGCTTGGTAACGGAGAGGAAGTGGTGGGGGTGTCTGACGGCGCCAATGGCATCAATGGAGACGCCGAGCGAGCCGTCAGTGCCGTTCTTGAATCCAACGGGGAAACTGAGACCGCTCGCAAGCTCTCGGTGAAGCTGACTCTCGGTCGTTCTCGCGCCAACAGCGCCGACGGACAGCAAATCGGCAAGGAACTGGGGTGAAATGGTATCGAGCATCTCGCTGGCAATGGGCATACCCTTGTCGGTGAGGTCGACGAAGAGCTGTCTTGACAGGCGCAGACCCTTGTTGATCTTGAAGCTGTTGTCGATATCCGGGTCGTTGATCAATCCCTTCCATCCGACTGTTGTGCGCGGCTTCTCGAGGTAAGAGCGCATCACGATGAGGAGCTCGTCCTTGTGCTTCTCCTTCTCTTGCAGCAACATATCGCAGTACTCGAGAGCAGCTTTGGGGTCGTGGATGGAGCAAGGGCCAATGATGACCAGTAGTCTCTCCTTCTTGTCGGTGCCATTGACAATGGCGACGGACTCGTCACGGCCCTCGATCACGGTTTGCTTCGACTTGGGGGTTTGGGCAATCTCATGCTGGAGCAGATCGGGCGACGTTAGCGGGTTGTAGCCGCGAACTAAGACCTCAATTAGCTTCAAGTAATCACTTAGAAAGGATCAATGCAATTTGTACTTCTCCAATCTTCGCTTTCGGCCTTGTTGCCGACATTTTTGTTCTCGATGAAGAAGCTCTGTGGTCGAATGGTGAGTCACAGGTGTGTAATTGCGCGTGGTGGCCGGGGGGTCGCGAGAGCTGACTTACAGACATTGTGGTGGCGAGGAACTTCAAAAGCAGGATGCAATTGGACGCTGAATGCTTGGTGAATGCTGAACGAGTCGATCGAAAGGAACACCGAGATAGTTGATAAGTGAAGAAAGTGCGATTGGAAGAGGGAAATAGACTTTTTTTTTTCTCTCTCTCTCTTCTGGATTTGTAGGTTGCTGTGTCCAAAGGAGGGCAGCTTCGAGGACTAGAATACCTTACATCAGACCTGAGCACAAATGGGCGAAGACTCATTCGTCCCCTCCACTGCCCAGTGCCACCCCGGCCGGCAGTACCCCGCCGAAGACGGACCCAGAAAAAAGTTGAACACCACCTTAACCAGCACCAACACCACCAACCTACTGCGTAACCCTCAAGTCAGGGCCGCCCGACTCCTGCAAGTGCGAGCAAACTTGCCACCAGTGAACCAATGGGCCAACAGTGAGGGGTATCCTTGCTGCATCTTTCTCGCTGAATTATGGCCGTGACGTGAGGGTTGCCCCCTGTGGACCTGTCCAGCCGGCCTCAAATGGCGCCACAAGATGGGTCTCACCGCCTGGAAAATGCCCGCGACAGCACCGAAGAACGGGCATTACCATTGCAGACTGCAGTCAGTGCTACGTCGACTTTGACGTCCCTTGAGGTGGGATGCCTTCAACTTCTTCTTCTCCAACCTATCGGGAACGAATACTTGGAGCACATGGTAAGGTACCTAAGTTTTATTCTCGAGGCGCCCTAGTGTGACATGTCATCTAACCACATCCAATCTAATACTCCAAAACACTTCAAAAATCTGCACACACATCACCGATATCGCTTGGAACCCCACGAACCCTTAGCACCAATCTATAACACACCACCTTTCATTGAAGTCTAGATCGTCTTTTTCAAGGGCTTGTGAGCCTCGTTCTCCATCTTCCCATAGCCGTTGAATCGGCCATACACCCACTTCAAGAGACTCGTGCTCGCGGTCATAAGCGCGGCTGAGAAAGTGAACAACCCCACGCGCTGTACGGTGTTGAGAACATCGAAAATAGGGTAAGGGTACCTGCAGCCAGTTAGCGGGCTGAAGACTTGGTCGAAGAGCGAAGTCATTTATATACCATCCGTTTCTACTGAAGCATAGCTCGACCCAGCCCCAGTACAGGAAGGCAAAGATCATACTGATGGCCATGGCCGAGTACGCGCGAATCGTCCATGGCGGGCTGAAGAGGATGAGGTCCAGAGACAGGACGACAGCAGGGACCAGGTGAAATCCAACATCTGGCAGCCAGTGAAGTTCGAATCCCTCAGGAATCAGCAAGCGCTTGTCGATGGAGCGGATTCCCCAGTACAAGATGCTGATGAGCACCTCAAGCGGTGCCGCCGTGGTCGACAGGGCGTTCTTCACAGCAAATAATGAAGGGCTGAGGGTGATATCGGCCAGTAGCCCTATCACAAACGTCACAAACGACAGAATCAGTCCTATGTTGGTGAGGTGCTGGTAATTTCCTCCGAAACCCATGGAGATGTCGTGAGTGAGTCCATTCAGGAAGTTGAAGGATGCGATGAACGAAACGATGCCGGTAACGTGCAGCAACAGAGACGCTGTCCGGGAAGGCGATTGCAGCCGCTGTAACTGATGCTTGGCCATCATATTGTGCCTCGATGTTGACGATGATGTTGCTTGTTCCAAAGTTGTGGTTCTGGTGTAAGGTAATTTGATGTAAAAGAAGGGATGAGATGGCACTTCCGCAACGAGACGGGCCCAAAGGAAAGGAATAGTTCAGGAACGGGAGGGAGAGAAGCCCGAGGGATTGGGTCGTCGTATGTCGTTGATGCCTTGAGACGAAAACCTTATGAAGGTGAGACTTGCGACAACAGGAACTTCCTATTTATTTGTTCTCCTTAATAGAAAACGTCGTTACCGACTAATCAGGGTTCCAACGCATGCATCGTCAGGCTGACGGACCGCGGCAAGTTGCAAGTGTCCGGTGCCTTCGGAAGGCTTCGTCATGAGGTCACTGATGGATCCCGGCGGTGCGGTGCCCCGTACCTGATCGCACTTCCAGTGTCACCAAAAGATCCACGCAGGCCCCCTAACCTGGAATCCTGGATGCCCCATCGCAGCCCGCGGCATGTGTTGCCGGCCGCTAAAGCCAAACTAAGAAGAAGCTCACAGTGGGTCCAGCGCCGGCAGCAAGGCTGCTTTGCGTTGGCAGCCACCTCCCCGGCACCCCCATCTGATTGGATCAATTGACATAGCTTCCTGCAAACCACCACAAGCTTCCTGGATTTGCATCTCAGCCTTACCACGCGACGAGCACTTGCATTCACGGTCGCCACACTTGCCGTCGCTATATCCTGGACCTTGAGCATCGGAAACATGGCTGACGACGACGCCAAAACCAACAAGCGAAGCCATGCGGACCTTGTTGCCCAAGATGACGGTAAGCATACACGATGCGACTTGGGACTCTGTTCTAGCACTACTTTCCGATGAAGCTTGGACTGACAGTGTGGGTAGACAGCTCCTCCGATGACGATATGGGCCCTCAGCTTCCCTCAGAAGCACCAAAGAAGAAGAAGCGTCGCGTCCTCCCATACGAAAAGCTCTACATTGCTGCGCTGCCCAAGTCGACCCGGTACTCCAAGTCTCTGATGCACAAGGAACAGCTGTCTTTCGTGACAGTGACGCCTCTGACGGACTTCATTGTTACCTCATCTGTCGACGGTGTCGTCAAGTTCTGGAAAAAGGTGGCCGAGGGGATAGAGTTCGTCAAGGAGTTCAAGGCACATGCAGACGAGATCAGGTCCGTCTCCGTCAGCCAAGACGGGAGAAGCTTCGCAACCGCCGGGGCAGACAAGACGGTCAAAATCTTCGATGTCATTACGTTCGATCTTCTGGCGATGCTGAAGTTGGCGTTTGTACCGAGATGTCTTTGCTGGATTCACAACCGAGGGGCTTCGCTGCCTCTCCTGGCGGTATCCGAGGAAACGAACTCCAACATCCACATTTTCGACGGCCGGGGAGAGAGACAAGACCCGATTCACACGATCAAGTCGTTACACAGAAGTCCGGTCTCAATTATGGCTTTCAACAGTGCCTACGACTGCGTGCTGTCTGCGGACGAAAAGGGCATGCTGGAGTACTGGCGCCCGAGCGGCGACTACGAGAAACCGGACAACGTATTCGAGTTCAAGGCGTCAACAAATCTCTTCGACTTCAAGAAGGCAAAAGCAGTACCGACATCAATCACGATTTCACCGACAGGCAAGCAGTTTGCCGCCTTCTCTCAGCCAGACCGGAAGATCCGAATCTTTGACTTTGCGTCCGGAAAGCTGTATCGAACATATGACGAATCTCTTCAAGTGATTGAGGATATGCAGCATGCTGGTTTGGCGTTGCAAAAGCTGGAAACTGTGGAGTTCGGTCGCAGATTCGCCGTCGAGCGAGAGATTGACTCGGCAGCGTACAGAGACAAGGCAAATGTCATCTTCGACGAGTCTGGCAACTTCATTCTTTACGGCTCAATATCTGGCGTTAAAGTGCTGAATACCTACACCAACCAGATCGTCAAGGTGTACGGTAAAGAAGAGAACTTTAGAGCCGTCAACCTGGCGATATACCAAGGTCAACCGCAGAAGAAGGGCATTACTACAGTCGAAATGGGTGCTTCTGCCAACCCCCTGCTTCAGGAGTCCGAGTCTAGAGACCCCATCCTGATAACGACAGGAGTCAACAAGCAACGGTTTTACATGTTTACCAATGACGAAGAAATCTCAAAGTCAGTGAGAGATGTCCAAAACGAGAAGCCTACAATGCTTGGCCAGAAGAAGGCAGAGGAGGCCAAGAAGGCAGAGACTGGAACCGGCGCCGTGATCCACACCAACTACGGTGACATTCACATTCGTCTCTTCCCCGATGCGGCACCCAAGGCTGTTGAGAACTTTGTTACCCACTCAAAGAGCGGCTACTATAACAACACGATTTTCCACCGTGTGATTCGCAAGTTCATGATCCAAGGTGGAGATCCACTCGGTGACGGCACGGGTGGCGAGAGTATATGGGGAAAGGAATTCGCAGATGAATTCAGCAGTTTGAAGCACGACAAGCCATATACAGTCAGCATGGCTAATGCAGGCCCAAACACCAATGGCAGTCAGTTCTTTATCACAACGGAAAAGACGGTGAGTACAACCCAACTCGGCGACTTAGATATCATGCAGTCCTAACAGTCACAAACAGCCTTGGCTAGACGGGAAGCACACTATTTTCGGGCGAGCGACCCAAGGGTTCGACGTTGTCCATAAGATCGAGAACGCGCGGACGTATAAGGAGAAGCCAGAGGAGGACATCAAGATCCTTAACATCGACATCGTATAGCCCGTTCCGTCGAAAGACGCCAAGTAATGAAAGACATGAGACCAAACACAACCCTACAGAAGGGCAAAAGTGAAATGGAGTGGAAAAAGCAAGTCGATGATGCAGTATCCCCGCAAGCCTCGCAACTGATACAGACGGGCCTCACGATGCAGCTGCATATCAGCTCAAGTCCACTCAACTAAGTGAGGCTGTATGTTGTTCACGTGGACGCAAAAGGCCAACATTGGACCGCTTACGATCCCGCAATCGGCGCTGCCATACCGCAACCCAATTCGGGCCCGATCTCGCCCGCCAGTGACACCCCGTACTTATAGACGACGTTTAGACGTACCTCATGTCCAACGGTGCGCGCACATCCGTTCTACGAAGTGGGCAATTCGGCTTTGTCGCAAGCGGTCTCAAACGTAGTCTACAACTTACTTCCGACATTGAAAGTGAAGACTGTGCGCTCAACCATCTCAGAGGGAATTTCATAGACGCAGGCCTCTGGATTCCGTACCTGCGCTGCATGTTCGCGTAGCATGAACTAGCCAATCAACCTGCCTCGACCCCGCCCCTTTCGGTTCGGCTCGTCCCTTTCTCCATTGCCAGGATCGAGGTATCCGATCCAGTATGCCACGTCCGAAGAAGCCAGGGGCGCCGGAGCCGAAACGTCGAAGCCGAAATGGTTGTTGGTAAGTTCATAATGCTCTGTAGCATTGATGTATATGGCTTGCTTTCAGTCGAACTATCGTATTCAACTAATATGCCCACAGGCCGTGCAAAGCTCGGAAAGTGAAATGTGGTGAGGAGCACCCAACGTGTATCAAGTTCGTTATATCTGTATATAAGTGATGTTGACTTTGGAACACTGCTTGCGTGAGAGACTACAGTCAGTGGAAGGCTAACATACATACACAGTTGCCAACGCACTGGGGAGCCTTGCGATTATAGTGTGCGACTAAACTGGGAGGGCCGTCGAACGAAGAGATCTTTTTCTTTGGGAACACTGACAGGGACCGCCCAGCCATCTAAAGATTCCTTTCACACTGAACGACCGCTGTTCAATCATACGTTTACCATTAGCAACCCGACTCAGGATTCAGATCCGAAGCCTTTAGCGAAACGCGTCCTCACTGCTCCCGTCAGCTTTGAGACAGGGAAGAGAAAGCTTGAACAGCTAGAGGCCCGTGATAACTACTTGAGTCAATCTCAGAACACGTCCTCCCGATCGATCCAGCACCAGAGTGGCGCTCCTTTTGCTCCGCCGCGCAGTGCCCCAAACCACAATGTACGAGGCCACTCCTCGACATCGAGCCTCCGTCGAATCGTTCCCGCGACTGCAAACGCTTCACAGAGATTATACAAGAGGTCCAAATCTCTCGCCGAGACAGATAAACCGGATCCATTGAGCCAGTTCGACCTCATGTCTTCGCCAATTTCTCTAATCGGGAAAAGTCCTCCCACGTCTTTCTTCCGCTCGGGCGCCAATTCAACGCCGATCGGTTCTCCCTTGACGCCCGTCTCGTTGGTGATCAAATCTGACGATGAGATGAGATCGCCTATCTTGAGCCTGCCTTCGCCGGCGTCTCCAGAAGATAGTCGACTGTCTGTGAACTATCTGCTCTCGAGATCTCCCCGCGTTGTGCATGATGTAAACAAGGGAATGATTCAACCATTTGGTCCGCCTCTGTTCAACCCTGGATGCAAACAGGAGCTATCAGAAGAGGCTACATTTTACGGCTTCGATCTTGGCATTCCAGACGCTGACATTGCCCAGAATGATGACGCGGGATCCATATCTCCAATAGCATCTTCAACGAGACATTCTGGGTACTTCCTCCAATCTGTGGGTGGTGGATCCTATTCCCAACAATCCGAGACCATCAATGGCACGATGCCAGGGGTCTGGTACTATGGCCAGCCAATTCCGATATGGATACCGCGAAGCATTGAGCCCATTCCTGCCAAGTGAGTCTCTACTAGCATTGAACGGTTCAAGGCTGAACGATAGAAGGCTTCGAGAAAATCCTATGAATCTCCTTGTAAGTCAGACTTTGGATCTTCAAGTAGATGTTTAGATGACACTGATGACTTTGATACACAGTACTTCGTACGTAGCCCCACCATCTTATTACCTACAGTCATGAAATAACATTCACACGACAGCATCACTTTTTGAACCATACGGCCAGGGGTAAGGGTTTCCATAGTTCCCACCATCAAGCCTACTGACTAAGAGGTAGTCCTCGTACCGTACGACAACCCCAAATCCAATCCCTTTTGTACGATTCTGCCGAAAATGGCTGTCGGTAACGACCACCTACTCAGCTTACTCCTGGCATACTCTGGTAATTATTTCTCACGCGTGCTCCATCGTACTGGTTTAACGACCTCGTCACAGCCGCCCATAGATCAAGACTTCTCGGAAAGAAGGAACCGCAGATGAGGATAGCAATCTGGGTGCAAGACATCTTTCCAGCCCTGCGGCAGGCCCTCAACGACAGGGACAAAATTATATCCAACACGAGCCTCGCCACCGCCATCATGCTCGCCTCGCTAGAGATCATATCGCCCACCGCATTCGGGTATGACATTCCCTGGCAGCGCCACCTCAACCTGGCCCGAACGCTGATGTGGAGGCGGCTGGCGGACCTGCGAAGGACCACCGAGAACGGTCTGCAGGAGGATGGTGCGTGTGCCTTTCTGTGGAGCTGGTTCACATACTTGGATGTCCTGGGGAGCTTGAGCGGCGGTGGTGTGCCCGACGCGGATTCTTCGAGGTTCTGGCTGCTCGAGTATAAGGTTCACAATCCTGGCGTCAGCCAGGATAAGATTGACTGCGTCATGGGGTTCACTACGCGCTGTGTCCAGATCCTAGCCCAGATCGCAGAGCTGGCGCGCCGCTGCGACGAGCAGCGATTCGCGCTGAGCAGTTCCTCAGCGCAACCTGTCTGGTATCCGAACGCGGCTTGTATCGAGCGGGCCCAGCTATTGGAGCAGGAGCTTCTATGGAGCATGGCGCAGACGTCACGCCCGTGCAGACAAATCACCACCATCACCACACAGAGCCAGAGCCGAAGCGTAGGCCAGGACAACAGCGTCGAGGTCGAGCTCGAGGGACAGGGTAACAAGGAGGAGATGGTCCTTTTGAACGAGGCGTTCCACTGGGCTGGGCTTGTGCACCTACATAGGCGCGTCCTGGGTAAGCCGTCCGGCCACGAGGACGTCCAGGGACCGGTGGCCGGGATCGTGGCGTGCTTGGAGGGCATTGCGCCTGGCGGGTCAGCGGAGACGGGGTTCTTGTTTCCCATGTTTACGGCTGGATGTCATGCGCTGGAGGGGCCGCAGAGGAGTAAGATATTGGAGCGGTTTCGGAGCGTGGAGAGGAATGGGATGACGCAGGTATGTTTGACTGTTCCCGTGGCTAAAAGCTTGCTAAGGAGAAAGATGTCATGAGTGGTGAGCGTTGAGCTGACTCTTATTTTTAAATAGGTTCACAAGGCGAGAGTACTCATGGAAAAGGTATGGGTTACGGGAGAGCCATGGGAGCCTCTGCTGTGCACAGAATTCATTGGGTGACTTACGCATCTCTCCATATTTTGTCTTGAGGATGGGAAAGGCTAGAAACCGCGATTGTCGTGCTTGAAGGAAATTCGATTTCTTTTCGCGTACTTACGAACGAAGCATGGAGTTGGATAGAAATACTGACAGGGGGCACATCAGGGAAGCATCGCATGGGTGTCTGCATTTTTGTCATCTTCACGACATTTACGAGACCATGATTTAAATGAACTTTCCTACTTAGCTTGGGGAGAGGCAGCTCGAGTTGGATATATAAGAGCTGGTAGCAATATACGTACCATGTCTTGATTTCTTGAGTTTCTTCGTTTTACTATAGTACTAGTGTTTGCCCAACATTCGTAGCTCAGACCTCGGTTTTTCTTTTTTGTTTCTTCAAGTCCAAGAGTTCAATGGAAATGTTCCGATAGCCTCCCCGTCCGTCTTTATAGGCTGAGGCAAGGCGAGAGTGCGAGCGATGGTAGAAGGCTGTGTATAAGTCACATCCAGTGATGCTTTCTCGGCTGAGGGGAGTTTGATACTCATGACGTTTCCACCACAATAGTACCTACATGTCATACATCATTCCTCCACCATCGCTGGTTTTCCATCACTACATCTTAGCACGCCACTTACATAAAAGTCTAGATTTGCCTCTAGGATCAAACTAGGGCAACAACGAGGAGGATCAAAGTCAACAACCCCCGAGACAAGTTTCAAGGTCAAAGATGAGGGGAAAAGAGGAAAAAAAAGAAGTTGCGTCAATCGCGGACGGGAATTGAGCCCGACGTGGCTAGTTAATGTTAGTGATGCTATTCAGATGGAATATCTTTAGGGCAGGCAATGGCGCTTACGGGTCGAACCCACAACCTTGAGATTAAGAGTCTCACGCTCTACCGATTGAGCTAGCCGGGCAGGCTTGGAAAGATTGGTGATCGTGAACAGCGACGAGGTGGTTCATACCGTGTTGGATTTGTGGGATTTCTTCGTGGGGTTGTGGTGGATGGGGTGGATGAGGGGTTCTCCGAGGGCACGAAAGACCTGGTATGTAAAATGGGGCCCGGGGGTCCGCCGCGACTTACACCAATGACTCGGAGGAAGGATTGACGAACGTACAAACCATAGTCACGTAGAAAAGCGAGGGAAAGAGTCGAGTCTGATTCCAAATTGTACAGTTTGTTTTGGGTTTGAAATTACTGCTATAAACCACCGGAATAAATATATCCCCCTGTCCCAAAAATTGCAACAAAGGTTCGGAGTCTTTGACCCTGTTCTTTGAGATTTCCCTCCTTTCCCAACGCCCAGAATGGTATATAAAAGTAAAAATCCTGTCAAAAGAGAGAGAGAGAGAGAGAGAGAGAGGAAGAAAGGCGTAAGGGGGTAGGGGGTCTTGTGGTTGTTCAAAAAAGCCAGCTCAGCTGAATACAAAGAAAAAAGGGTTAAAAAGTTGTTCCTTTCGGAACAAACACGCAGGCTTTGACGTTCTTTCACTCGTCCTCACGATCATCACACCGCTTCTTTCTTTCCAACATGCCTCCTTTTACTCGTCCATTTTTTTGTCTTTCTTATCTTGCTTGGCCAAAGGAGTATTGGTGTGGCGGCGGGCTCTTGACAGGCGCGTCGGCGTAGGCGCCGGGGATTGGCACAGCGTCGTAGACGGGTTCGTCCGCAGCCATGGGGGCGTGTTGCTGAGCTTGAGGCTGCTCCTGGTGGAATGATGGCTGCTGCTGCTGCTGCTGGAAGGGGAACGCGGGGCCGGGACCCTCGGGCGAAGTGGGAGTGTACGCCTCCTGTCCAGGCTTGGTCGCCGCGCGCGCCTTTGTCGGGGGCGCCTGGAGCTGGAAGGCGGGCTTGGGCTTGCCAAAGCTGGACTCGGGCTCGACGAAGCGGGTGCCGGGGGTGAAGGGCGAAGCGCCGGCCTCCTCGATGCGGGACAGGCTCTCGAAGGTCTTGTCCGGGTGGCGGGGGGACAGGGCGTACTGGGAGTAGAGGCCGGGGGACTTGAGGCCGGGGGTGTTGGGGGCGGACTGGGAGCGGAGCTGGGCGAGATAGAGGTCGGAGCGGGCGCGGTCGCGCATGTCCATGGACTTGTGGAGGCGGCGCTTGGTGTAGTAGCGGTAGAAGACGATGCTGTAGAGCAGGACGCAGATGACGTCGATGACGATCTCGATGACCATGCAGATGAGGGCCCAGTTCTGGAGGCGGCAGATGAGGGCGTAGTCGACCTTTTCGCCAAAGACCTCGGCGCGCTTGTTCTCTTTGCACGACCAGCCCCACATGTCCTTGCCGCCACCGTTGCTGCGGCTCGACTGGAAGAGGCCGGCGGCGATGGCCCACATGACCATAGAGAGGATGAACCAGCCGATAGCGAAGAGGGTGTAGTAGGTTGCTACCTTCTCGGCACGTTGGTGGCCGCCGCGGCAATAGGCGAGGAGGACACCGATGCAGACAGCAAGGGAGATGGAAGACACTGCGGACATTGTTAGAAGATGGCAAAGACTTAAGATCTGAAGCCTCGACTTACTAGTAATAACCAGGACCTGGGGCCAGATGGCGGTTCCTTCAGCCCATGATGGCAGACCGCTCTGGGCAGGGAGACGCTTGGTAGCGTTGAAGATTTGGAAAGAGGCGGCAAGCATGGAGATGATGATCAAACTGCAGCTAAAGCTAACACCACGAAGGGCGAACTTTGCCATACGGACGCGGGTCTTGATTTTCTACACAGCCAAAGTTAGTATTATAGAGCTTCAGTTAGACCAAGAGCACACATACCAAGTCGCGTGCTTGCTCCTTATCGGTTGCCGCTTCACGCTTCTCTAAGATATCCTCCTCACGGAAAGTCGGGCTGAGCGGGTTCTCGACAATCTTCCTCGCTGGTGTTCCGGGCACCCTCATGGCGCTCTTGAGCGGTGATCTGGGAGTCATGGGAACGGCGACGGACTCGCGATTGCCGCCGCTGTTGTTGATGTAACCGAACCCGATATCTCCAGGCTGGGACTGAGGCACTTCTGATCTGACGGGGTCTGCGAACGGTGACCGTACGCCGTCGACGGGAGAATGAACTGATGTTGCCTCTGCGAAGCGAGGAGTGCGAGGAGGCTTGAGTGATGAGTCTGAGGAGGATGAGTCTGTGGATGCTGATCGGGCCGGGGCGAGGTTGAGGGCGGCAGGCCGCCTTCTATCTTCTGCCACAAGAGTGTAAGCATACAGTGTTTAAGTAGATTACTAAATCTCGACCAAAGGCATACCTTGGGAAGCCATGGCTGTGGTATGTGACTGTGTTCCGGACGACGAAGAAAGGTGGCAGCAAGAGAAGCGTGTCTAGTATATAGGAAAGGAGCCCCTTAGACTATGGGTCGCCAACAGGAAGACCGACTTCGGGACATGCAACAGATTTCGGTGATCAAAGGAAGAATGAAGCACGATAGGAATCAGATTTCGGAGAGACCAGCTGTCGGAAGGGAGAAAATAGAGGTCCAACAATTCGGTCACTCGGGGGAGCAGGTAGTTTTGAATTGGCGCCGGCAACCTCGAACAGATGAGGGACCCAAGGCAGAGGCCCTCTCACGCACTGCAGGACCTGGGCTGGACTGCATGGGGGCGGGCAGATCAGCAAGGTGTAAGTGGGACGAAGCGGAATGGGGGAATTCCTACATGTAGCGTGGGAGGGTAGGATGGCGTGAAGTTGAGCAGGGCTCTGATAGGTGAGAGGCCAAAGTTCCAGGCCGGCGATTCGGTCGTGATGGAAATAGACGCCCACGAGAGTGGACGAGGTGGCGCCGAGCTTTGGTTGGCTCGGTGGCAGGTGCTTCGAGACTCTCTCACTCACTCTGTACTTCAAAAGTCGCCTATTCCTAGCTCGCGGATCACTGATCCGAGCGGAGACTTTGATAGTAGTGAGTTTCTTGTTGTATCAGTCGGCGGTTACTGGATATATGGGGATATGATGGGATTGTGTTAAACAGTCAAACACCAGAGACGGTGTTCCTACTCAGAGGCAGAGAGATGGAAGACCGAGGAGACGAAGGCTCTGCGAGAAGATTTGTCAAGCCAAGAGTTGCGCGCATTTCTCAACACCCAGACGAATATAGAATATTGAAAGCAACCCCCAAATAGGCATCCTCAAGAGAGGGGAAGAGAGGGAGATAGATAGAGTAAGTGAGAGACAAGGACTCGGGGCATGCACACTCGTCCATCTCCCAGAGTGACTGGCCGGCCTTTCCAGCTCACAGACAGGGCCAGATACCTACCTCCTCCCTTCTCTACCGACCCTCGTGCCCTCTTCGCCTCGACAAAGGCTCACTGGAGCTTGGCGGCATTTGTCGTAGCATCCGCATGGTTCGACGATGCACGTAAGGCCGGTGATTGGACATGGCTATCCAAATTGAGAGGAGGCAGGTGAAGTAGCAATGGGAGGACAAAGATGTGGTTGGACGGAAGTTTAGAAAGAGGAGAGAGGCTTGCGGCCACCCTTGCTCACATCCACGGGTCCTTGATCAACCACCGGCGTCAACTCCTCTCCCAAATCGACGTTCGAACTTCGAACCCTTGCTGCCGCCCGCCTCCCCCCTGTCGGGCAACTGCAGTTGTGATAGGCTCAGATGGTGCAGCCGCCTCCGAATGCCGCATGCTTGCACGTTGGCGCAACGGGTTGTGACCAATCAACGACCGAAAGTGCGTGATGGTCTGCCAGCCACATGCAGGCTGGGCGGTAAGCAGAAGACGGGGAGATGGAGAATTGGGTGAATGAGCAAACACAGTAGCTATGGCGAAGTGGCATGGCGCGGCCTTTTTTTGGTGTATTCTTTTGTGCTCGAGTCACCCGAGTCTCTTAGTTCCTGCTTTTTTTCTTTTTGTTCCTGGCACTGACAGGGAGTCGGTCAATGAGCTTGATTTTTGACTTCCTTATGGCGTGGTCAACGATCGCGGGCGCTAATGAAGTTCAAGGTGGGGCCATCCAACTGCCTGTTCCCTTCAGACTCAGAGGAAGTGTGTTTGCTCTCTTGCCTATAGTCTTCGGTGAGAGTGGTTGAGTGATGAAGCATGCAGGCTGTGCTGTAGGTTGCTCATTTGTGATATAGGTAGGATAGGTAGATGTACGGAGTAGCAGCATGCGTTCCTCGCAACTTCGCCCCCTCATCCGCTGTTACCGGGCCCAAAATCTCACGTTGGCCATCTTTCGCTTGAGTAACCGAGAATCGCAGAATGAATCCGTAGATCCGTAAGCTTGACCGAAGTACTGGGACACAAGCAGGATCAGGAGCTCGCTGAGCCCAGAAGTGCACTTGAGAGAAGGACTGCCTTGCAATCTCAGATGTGGCGGCAAAACAGAGGCAAAAAAAAAAAAAAAAGGGTAAGGTTGCTTCCTTCTTGATGAGTTCATTCCGAAGAGTTTCCATTATGAGAGAGCCGTCAGCCCCGTCAGCGATCGTCCTTGTTGTGCAGGTGGATGGTGCGAAGGAGCTACAGCCAGCATGGATAATTACAGAGTAGTAGGTAGGGGAGATTACAGCAAGTAAGGCATGGCCCGTGTGCCGTCACTTTCCCTTCCCGCTGCTCGTCTAATAACCAAGCGAATCAAGAGGGCCGACTTTTATTATCCGTGCCGCCATCCATTTAACCCTCCATCACAGAGTGTGATAGAGTAAGAATACAGAATGCAGTCAAGTTTAGCCCGCATTCCCAAACCTATTTTTAGGAGATGTGGCCAATCAGATCAAAAGTCACAACGAGGTGGGCTACCTTGATTTATGTACAGATAGGTAGGGAACTTCGAGGTGGTGTCTACTCAGCCTATTTTTACCCAACTTCTTCGAGCCGTGACTTGGTAGGTGTGAGGGACCGCCGGGCGTTTCGCTCCTTTGCGGCTACGGAAATCTCGGTCTTGTATGGCGGAGGGCGGAGCTCGAGTCCCGGATGACGGGATGCGGGATGGATGTCGGTACTGTGAATATGACCGGACATGGGACTCCTCGAGGAGCCAGGTAGCCCGGCACCCCGGCTTAATGATCTGGGGTTATTGAAGGTTCACGATTCGGAGAGTCGTCTTTCATAGTAAACATCTCGACCGGTAATTTATTGGCTGAATAGTTTCCAGTGGTCATGGTAGCCTATCCTCACAGTCCACAGTCGTTCATGAATATTGGTGATCAATAAGACAAAAAACTCCACATTTGCGTATATTCAACAATCCCACTATTGCAATATTCAAGGTACAAATTGTAATAACATTGTCATTTAACATAAGTAGTCGTTGAGACCTCAGGTAACGGGATTTCTCGCAGCGTCACACGCTTAATCTAGATTGTCGCGACCAAACATTGACGTCAACTCTTGACGCTGCTAGAACATATGAAGCTCAAGTTCCGATCGAGACAAGGTTTGCAATGGCTTTCTATTGACGTTGCAAGCACTAGGTAGTCTATTGGTTGTAATCACGGACCTCGTACCCTCCCTTTCCACATGTAATTGATAATACGGTCCCCTTACAAGATAGTATGAGCATTTCAACAAGAGAACTTTTGCAGAAGGTCAAGAGGACATGTCGCACATGTAAGCTTTGAGGTATGACTCAACTTGCATGATGCTGTCACCAGCTTCGTTCTATCCCCAGGCAGGAAAGGCAAGGTAAGGTAGGAACTTAGAGAGGGCAGCAGGGTTGGGCGGGCAAAGGCCAGGCGGGGCACTTATCACCTTATCAGTCCCAAAGGGGTTAGCGCCGACATTGAGCACAGAATTCGAATCGACCCTCAGCGAGGTAAATTCCAGGTTGTTACTCATCGGAAGCAAATTTCGCGGATCAACCTCGACGTCACGAAACCCACGAACAAGAGGCCCCATCCTCCCTCTCCGGTACCGTCGAATACCTACACCTAATCACCTATTCACTCATCAGGCGATCTAACTTCGAGAAAAAAGTCCGACGTCCCCCGACCCGTCACAAGTCAACCTAGACGAATTTACCCCGCCATCCACCCACACCCCGTCGCGACAATGTCTGCCAACGGCGATAACAAGTACGACGACATCGAGTCGGAGTCCGACTCTGGCGAGTCCGTCGAGGAGCAGACCGAGCTCAACGAGGAGAAGACTCTCAAGCCCGCCCTCAAGAAGTCCTCCAACCCCGTCACCGCCGACATCACAGTTCAGCGTCCTGTTCTGCCCCCGCAAACCGATCCCAAAGACCTCGACGTCAAGACCCTCAGCCCCCTCACCCCCGAGATTATCGCTCGCCAAGCAACAATCAACATCGGTACCATCGGCCATGTCGCCCACGGAAAGTCTACCGTCGTCAAGGCTATCTCCGGCGTTCAGACCGTCCGTTTCAAGAACGAACTGATCCGTAACATTACCATCAAGCTTGGTTACGCCAACGCGAAGATCTACCAGTGCGACAACCAGGAGTGCCCTCGGCCAGGATGCTTCAGGAGTTACAAGAGTGAGAAGGAGGTCGACCCCCCTTGCGAGCGCGAGGGCTGCAGCGGTACCTACAGATTATTGCGCCACGTTTCGTAAGTAAATGAGGCTCAGAGAGAGAGCTTACCCCGGAATCGTGAATCGCAAGGACTCGCGGCTAATACCACATCTCCACTTAGCTTCGTCGACTGCCCCGGTCACGACATTCTCATGAGCACCATGCTGTCAGGTGCCGCCGTCATGGACGCCGCCCTGCTGCTCATTGCTGGCAACGAAACCTGCCCCCAGCCCCAGACCTCTGAGCACTTGGCTGCTATTGAGATTATGAAGCTGGACAAGATCATTATCCTCCAGAACAAGGTCGATCTTATGCGCGAGGAGGCCGCTCAGCAACACTACCAGTCCATCCTGAAGTTCATCAGAGGTACCGTTGCCGGAAAGTCTCCCGTTATCCCCATCTCTGCCCAGCTCAAGTTCAACATCGACGCTGTCAACGAGGCCATCGTCAACACCATCCCCGTGCCCCCTCGTGACTTCACCCAGGACCCCCACATGATCGTCATTCGATCCTTCGACGTCAACAAGCCCGGTGCCGAAATTGACGACCTCAAGGGAGGTGTCGCTGGTGGCTCTATTCTGCACGGTGTCCTCAAGCTCGGTGACGAGATTGAGATCCGTCCCGGTATTGTCACGAGAGACGACAAGGGTGCCCTCAAGTGCACTCCCATCTTCAGCAGAATCGTCTCCCTCAACTCCGAGTTCAACGACCTCAAGTACGCCGTCCCCGGTGGTCTCATCGGTGTCGGTACCCGCATCGACCCCACCCTCTGCAGAGCCGATCGTCTCGTCGGTTTCGTCCTGGGTCTCAAGGGACGCCTGCCCGAGATCTACAGCGAGATCGAGGTCAACTTCTACCTCCTGCGCCGTCTCCTCGGTGTCCGCACCGCCGACGGCAAGCAGGCCAAGGTCGCCAAGCTCACCAAGAACGAGGTCATCATGGTCAACATTGGTTCCACGTCCACCGGTGCCAAGGTTGCCGCCATCAAGAACGATGCCGCCAAGCTCGTCCTCACCTCCCCTGCCTGCACAAACATTGGCGAGAAGGTCGCCCTGTCCCGTCGTATTGAGAAGCATTGGCGTCTGATTGGTTGGGCCACCATCGCTGCGTAAGTTCACACTTTGTTACTCCACACAATCAGATTGCACAATGAAGCTAACATTTCTACAGCGGTGTCACCCTCGAGCCCAGCTCGTCTTAAACCGACAACTGCCCCAAATCAAATCAAAAAACACAAAGTCTCAAAAGCCCATTCTTCAGCATCACAGGAGTCTAAAAAACAATCAGTCAGTCTGGTAGAGAGCCGAATGGGAGGGGCGGGAGCGCGGATCCGGCAAAGTTTTTGAGTACCAGGCGGGTAATGAATGCACATGAACGAGGTTACCAACTTACCGCGTAAATTCAAAATGACCAGAAGAGAGAGACTCGAAATTCGCGAAATTTGAAGGTCCAAAGATTCCAGGTCCCATTTGATGGCGGAGATTCGCGAGGGAAAGAAAAACAACGTACAAGGAAAAGCTAGACGGTGTATGCTGATAGATAGGCCTGGACGATGAATGAGCCCCTTTAACTTTTCTATTAGTTTCTATTTCCTGACTTTGCGTGCATGCTTGACCAGGTTTTCTATCACGCCTTCAAATGCCTCTCTGTCGCCTATCTTTTCATCCGTCTTCTTGGTCCAGTAATCCAATACCTCCTTGGCTGTTCCCTCCATCGCCTTTAGCCGGTCCACGTGCGCCTTGAGCTCGTCGTCCGTCATGCCGTTCAGGGCCTCGTCCGTCGTCGTGCAGAGCTGCTTGGCCGATACGAGATCCAAGTCCGGCACCGGCGGCGGTCCCTTCTTCTTGGATGACGCCGTTGGTTTGCCTTTTGAGTCGACAGACGTCGACGACGCGTTGGCCTCGGCCCGCACCCGTGATACGGACCGAGAATCTGATGATGTCCGCGGCGAGCCGGAGGGGACTTGTAATGAGGGCAACACTAGCTTCTTTTGCTTGGAGGCTGGGAGGATCTCATCCAGATCGACCGGCACGCCTAGAGAGACGAGGAAGAGACGGCGGATGCGCGAGCGGATCCAATCTGGGGGAGCTAGCGGCGGAGGTGCCACCAGCTGCGACCACAGTGACGCACTGCGCGGTGTGATGAAGATGGGGTTTTCTTTCGTCAACGGTGGCGGGGAGCTGACGTCTAAGCTCTCTGGGGGGAAGAGGGTATTGAGGTATGGGTCGACAGCTTGTAGGACGTCTTCGCCGTCTAAGCCGTCAAAATCTGGTATATCCTGGATTGAGGCGTCAGAAAGGTCATGAGAAATTTCGATAACGATGTGCTTACGAAAGGTAGTGCTGGTACCTGTGGTAAGCTGGGCGCGAGAGCTGGAGCGGGAGCTTGGAACTCGGGTTCTTGGAATCCATCTTCAAAGTCGTCAAAGTCACCGTCGGCTTCAGCACCCTCTTCAAAGTCGTCGAAATCGTCACCAAAGTCATCATCATCCTCGTCTTCGCCTTCAGCGTCCTCTCCTTCCTCGTCATCGTTATCAGCTGCATCGGGAGGCGGCGTAAGGCCGGCGCTAGACGGAGCAGACGGGAGTGCCGTCTTGGAGGGTTGCCGCTTCATACGAGGCGAGTTTGGTGTTGACAGCGCAGGTGATACAGGGGGGAGATCTACGAAGAATGACGCCAGGTCAACGACAAAGTGCTCTTTGAATTTCAGGGATCTCTACATCGTACCGGAACTGCCACCCTCCTCAGTCTCGCCGTCTGGCTTGACAACTAAGTCGGCTGGGGCATCTGCCTTGCGCTTCTCCAAGAACTCCTCTGAGTGCGGCCCTGAATCGCCCGGGGCCTCCTCGACGACAGTCTTGGGAATGACTGGCGACTTGGGCGCACTGTCTGCCGTCGACGACGCCTCGCTGCTGTTCTTCTCCTGGATAGCAATCTCGTCCGGCTCAGCATCACCCTCCCTCAAGCGGTACGCTTCCGTTCCGGGGACCTCGCCGTACGACGGTTCATCGTCGACTTTCTCTACGCGGGTTTTGGGAATCGGAGACGTTCCAGGGCTGAGGGGAGCAGATTGCGCATCGGAGAAGTGATCTTCTGAGTCGGAGGCGTTGGCTGCAGATTGTTAGACAAAAACGGCTGCACGATCATCAAGGGAGACATTGACAAGGGGTGGGGGTTGCTTACCCAGATCGTGTGCGCCAGGGTCGCTAGTTCCAGACCGTCTCGGCGGTGAAAGAGCCTCTTCGTCTGACATGATTCCGTTGTGAGCCCAATTGAGAGCTGTAGGAATAATAGGGTAATGTTTCTTGAGGTTACAACAAGCTGAGGCAGCTTAGGGGAGTTATCGATGGTGGGAGAGAATAGGAGTGGGCAGTGGAGGGGGAGCCTGTCGATTAGCGGATACGTAGCTGTGTGGGCCGAATAGGTATAGGTAGGTAGCAACTAGCAAGAACGATATCCCCAACTTGATAATTTGAGGGCAACCGCAACTTTTGAAGGAGTCAGGCTGAGGCAAGGGCTTGTTGGCACAATGACGAGCAGAAAGAATGGAAGCGACTTTTCAGGCTCTTGGGCTGGGTGGCATAAGAAAAGCAGGCTCGCAGACGGTACCTATCAAGGCTCAAGCACCTCTTGCAGCTTCTAGACTCGCCCGCCAAGCATCACGTGGGGCATACCCCGGTTATTATCGCGCTAGTACTTGATAGGCAACCTGTCCCTGGTCCTGGGTCTTTGGGCAGGTGCAGCGCGCCAGTCGCGTGGAGGCAAGGCCTGAAAGGCTGGAGCATCACAAAAAAAAAGCTATCAACCATCAACACCAGTTGCAGCTCCCCCCAACTACCGGTAGCAACCACACGTCGCAACGAGTCAGCGCATATCTACGAGCCAGATCCGATTGCTTCATCGACGACCAACAGAGCTTCAGGGGGTCGATTCGCATCTCAATGCGACGACATTGAACCAAACGACACACGATTGTCTAGATATCAGCTCGCTGTACTAAGCCCGCATTTAGCTTGCGAGACTCCGTCAGGCTTCATCTCGACAGACCCCGATCGATTCACGAACCTTCCACACAATGTCCTTCAGCTTCGGTAACACAGCTACGCCAACGTCGAACAGCGGCTCGACTCCGGCCACCTCTGCTCCCGCATCCGGAGGTCTCTTCGGCGGCGCTGCTGCCCCCGGCGGCACTCCCAGCTTCTCCTTCGGCAACCTTGGATCTGGAGGAGCGGCAGCTGGATCGACCACCAGCACACCAGCTTCGGGCGGAGGTCTCTTCGGACAGAACACTGCACAGAAACCAGCAGGCGGCCTCTTTGGCGGTGGCACGCCGGCCGCGGCTGCAGGAACACCCGGATCGGCTGGAGGAGGTCTCTTTGGCGCCAAGCCCGCTGCCGGTGCTTCTTCGACTCCTGCATCTGGCGGCATGTTTGGAGGAGCCGGTGCTTCTACACCCAGCACATCCACACCCACTGGAGGGCTCTTTGGTGGCGGTGCCGCTGCCTCGGCCGGCACACCAGCCGCACCGTCAGGAGGCCTTTTCGGAGGAGGTGCGGCGGCGAAGCCAGCTGGAGGTCTCTTCGGCGGCGGAAGCACCGCCAGTCCTGCTCCCACTGGAGGCTTGTTCGGTCAGAATGCCGCTGCGAGCTCGTCAACCACACCCGCTCCTGCCGCAGCTGGAGGTCTGTTTGGCAACAAAGCCGCCTCAAGCACCCCCGCTGGCGCTCCAGCAACCCAAGCCACTCCCGCGAAGCCTATGTTCTCTCTAGGAGGATCTACCACACCAGCTGGAGCTCCGCCTGCTGACAAGAAGCCAGCTACCGGGGGCCTGTTTGGCGCTGCAGCGGCGTCTGGATCTGCTGCGCCGTCTCCCTTCGGTGCTGCGGCCGGCGCCGCGCCGGCTTCGGCTGCTTCCACGGCCCAACCTGCCGCCAGCGGAGGTCTCTTTGGTGGTGCGGCTCAGTCCAAGGCCGCATCTACAGCACAGCCGGCCGGTGCCGGTGGTCTTTTCGGTGGTCAGACACAACAACAACCCGCTGCCGCCGGTGGTCTATTTGGAGGCTCGAAACCCGCTGCTGCTGCCGCTCCTAGCTCCGGGGGTCTTTTCGGCCAAGGCGCTGCTACCACTATCTCAGCACAACCGGCTTCCACCCCTGCCGCTGCTCCCGCTGCCGGTGGTGGACTCTTCGGCGGCGCAAAGCCTGCCACTCCTACCACCTCAACACCAGCTGCGGCCCCTGCCGGTGGTCTGTTTGGCGGCAACACATCTTCGACGCCAGCAGCTGCTACGACACAGGCTGGCGCAGGTGCAGGAGGTCTCTTTGGTGGTGCGAAACCTGCTGCACCCTCAGCCTCTACTCCCACCACCGCAGCGGCTCCTTCGTCACTGTTCGGTGGTGCAGCTGCAGCTACACCTGCGAGCAAGCCTGCGAGCGGAGGACTCTTTGGAGCTACTCCTGCTGCTGGTACCTCTCAGCCAGCTTCCACCCCTGCGGCGACTGCGACTACCGCCGCTACAACCACATCAGCTGCCGCGCCCAGCACAACGGCATCAGCTGGTGGTCTGTTCGGAGCCAAGCCAGCAGCTACCCCGGCAGCTGGAACATCAGCTCAGAACGGCACCACGCCTGCCACCACATCTGCTACAACTGGCAACTCAAATACCCTCGCTGCCTCTACCACTGGCCCCACATCCCAGCTTCCTCGCCTGAAGAACAAGTCCATGGACGACATCATTACACGGTGGGCCTCTGACTTGTCCAAGTACCAGAAGGACTTCAAGCACTACGCCAACCAGGTTGCCGACTGGGATCTGGGCCTGGTCGACAACGGTGAGAAGATTCAGAAGCTCTACCTCAACACGTTCGAGGCCGAGAAGGCGAGCCACGAGATTGAGCGCCAACTTCAAGCCGTCGAGAGCCAACAGGACGAACTTGAGGACTGGCTGAACCGCTACGAGGCCGACGTCAAGGAGATGTTCTCCCGCCAGATGGGACAGGGCGAGACCCTTGCCGGACCCGACCAGGAGCGTGAGCGGACATACAAGCTTGCCGAGAAACTCACGCAGAACCTCGACGAGAAGAGCAGAGACCTGTCGAAGATGGTTAAGGAGATCAACGACATTTCAGGTACTCTTAGCAAGGGCACCAAGCCTGAGGATCCCGTAAGTGATACTGGTTTTTTTACCCATGTTGTACCTGCA